CATTCCTGTCTCGCTTTCTAACTTCAGTCGAAAGCAAAACTAGGTACTTGATTGGGAAATTTGGACTATATGTCTACGCACTCTTTATTCCCCACATTTGAGGCACGTCAACCGTCACACTCGAGGTTTGTTTTTGGTTCTTAGGTCAACTAAAGCGTTTGACAAGACGTTTAATTTTCTTTGCTCACGGCATCATGTCAAATATAACAAGATTCGAAAGTTTCCAAATTGAATGAGTTTTGACTAACCAGATTGTCTGGTACTATTTTGAGGTCAAACGATTGTCGCCTTACCAAAACGAGCATCCAATCAGATTTTAGCATCAAATTAATTGTTTCAAAGCCAGAGGGCGTCTGAGACGATTTCTCAAATTGTAGCATTTCACAGCATAATATGGAAATAAGTCGCAAACAAATCTCATCGCTAGAGGTCACCGCTGCTTCATGGGTGAGGAAAACTGACTTATCAGAGCACAGCATGCAATTTGGAAATGGCGAAACGGTCAAAACAATGAGAAATCATTGTCGACGACCCAATTGCTCAAAATCAAGTCAAACTTCCTCAAAAATGAGCACGCATCAACTTAACCTCCCTGCTAACTGACTGAAGCAATATCCATATCTCCAGTACAAAAATAGAGCAACCAGGACTTCAATTTTGGAAGTTTGGGTAATGTTTCCACAAATTTCTGTTCTCGTAGTCTAATACGTCGAATGCCTTCTTTGTCTAACGGTTCGCGGATTTGACGGGGGAGGATCAATTTCTGGGGCCAAAATAGAGGAAATTTTCAACGAGGACGTTCAACCGTTCGACAAGCTGGGCACATACAAGGCAAGAGTTGAGTTACGCACTGTGATTCCCGCGCGTCTTTACAGATCCCACCAAGGTCAGGCAGAAAAGATGGAAGCATCCGTATATTTTGGTGACTGTTCTCAAGCCAATATATTGTAAGCACGAAAGAGATACAGGTGCTGATTTAAATTAACCGGACAAAACGCGTTAAACTTGAAATTTAAAACGCAGTTTTTTCAAATTGAGTTGAGTTTAGATGAAAACTTATGATGACAAAACTTGCCTAAATTTTTAGCAGAATTATTATGATGTAATTTGTTTTGCAAACTTCGGACCAGAATTTTTCCCCAAAAATGGGTCATTTTGGCTTTTTTTAGTTAATCGAAAATTACGCCAAAAATACCCAGTCGATCACAGACATATTTATATTTAGTTATATCAAAGTGAGCCCCTTACGTAGCTCAACAAATTTTAAGAAGGGTGTTTTCTCAAAAAAAAATGCATATTGTTTAGAAATTGTTTTGAAATAAAAAGTTGGTATTTTATATAGTAAAAATGACCTTTTTTGTCTATCAAACGAAAATAAATAATTTCTACAATATTTCGGAGATTATACCCTCCTTAAAGTTTGTTGGGCTACGTAAGGGGCTCACTTTGATATAATTATGTCTGTGATCGACTGGGTGTTTTTGGCGTAATTTTTGATTAACTAAGAAAAGCCAAATTGACCCATTCTTGGGGTAAAATTTCGGACCAGAATTTCGCAAAACAAATTATACCATATTAATTCTGCTAAAATTCTAAGCAAGTTTTATCTTCATAAATTTTCACCTAAACTCAACCCAATTTGAGAAGAATGCGTTTTAAATTTTAAGTTTAACGCGTTTTTTCCGGTTAATTTAAATCAGCACTGTATTCCTAGAGTGTACGTTATTTGCTATGAACGTATTAATTGTTAAGATCTATCAATTTTTCTGAGTCTCTGCAGGTCTTACGGCTCCAAATCACGAACTACAACTCGACTTCGCATACCCGTTCTTTGATAACAAGAATGGTCAAAAATATATTTTAATCAGGTTCTTAAGGGGGTTGAGAAATTAGACGATAAGCAAATTAGACGGAGGTACTTAAAAGGAAATTAGACGGTTTTGCAAAACTGCAATTGTGAGAAAATAGACGAAACTGAGAGATATTAACTTTGTTTGCACACAAATTGCGTTAGAAAAATAAAATTGTTTGCAGACAACAGTTCAATTTCGGTGGCCAAAAACTTTACAAGTCAATCATGCATAATCTATTCAATTCAAAACTCTCCTGTAATATTCAGATTTGACATTTTATGTTCATTTAAACTAATTGTTTTGATAGGTATTGACATTTTATGTTCTTTTTGTATTTGTGAAACTTGGCTCTTAAGAAAAATTTTTGTTGGCCCTTTCCCTTTCGTCTAAAATGCTAGATCTGTAAAAATTAAATTCCGTCTAATTTCGTTTTTTTTAGCATCCGTCTAATTTGCTTATCGTCTAATTTCCTAGGCCCTGGTTCTTATGCTAATATAAATCAGGTTCTTATGCTCATATGTAGGAAACAATAGGCTTCCTAAACAAAAGCAAACAAATTACGATTTGGGATCAAAGATGCGACAGTCAAATAATATTGGAACAAAAAAGGCATAAAACTGAACATAATAGGCATAACTGCTTAACTTAACTTAAGAGTCATAAAATTAACATAATGAAAGATTGTAGACTGCATCAGAAAAAAAACACGCTATTTTTGAAAAGTCATTGTTCGAAATGAACTACGAGTGCAAGCCAAACACCAGATTTTCTTCAGTTCCACAAACTTTCACTGATTCAGCTGAAAGTTTGGAGAGAAACCTTCTGATTCCTGAACAGAGAACCAGCCAGGACTACAGCCGAGACAGGGTCAAAGTGGTTGAAACAAGACAGGCTTCCATTGAAAGAGTTAGCTTCGAGAAACGGTGTTTTCGCTCACTTGCTCAAGACCGGGACCACTGAAAGGAATTTGAGGTTCTAAGATCTGGTGGGGTATTCGGAACATCCCATCCTCGCTTTTAGCCAGCTAATGAACGTGGTCGCGTCTTCCAGACCGAGCCGCGTATCGAGAACATGAAAATTTTAAAAGCTGCTTTAAAAAATCACTCCGGAGTAAAAAAAAACTCACAAAGTTAGTTGATCAGCAATCCAAGAAAAACTGTTCAAATTAGTCAAACTCATGATTGTGAGGTCACGGATAGCACTCACACTAATGATAAGGCAAAATTTTACCGGAAAAGTCAAGTCAACTTAATACGAAACTTTATTAGGCCTTAGTTTTCAGCAGCGCCAGGAACAGTAACAATAAATACATAGGAGGATTGTCTTCATCAGCTCATGAGCAGATCCGAAACAGCTAAGTGATCTAATTAAAGGTACACCTAATTCTTTTAGCATGGATTCTGTCCATGTTAAAAGTACTGAACAGTGAAGAAGAAGTCACCATCACGACGCTTCCAACGCGTCATTTGCGGCAGACGATCAGCCAACTTTAGCTCAGAAGAGTCTACTCATCAGGTCATCGAAGCTACAAAAGATCATTCCACCTACTCCGAAGTCGTAGTGGACCCACTGTAAGCACTAGATCAGCTAGAATAATCGTCGTCTCGGACGACACAAGTGGAGCATTCGATAGAGCAAGGTGCACGAGGTCATCGATAAGGCCTAAGAAGCCGACAGGTTGCTTTGGTGATCCGTTGCCTCATTCAGTTAAAAGAGCTAAGCTGTCAGAGAATGCCAAAATATCAAAACAGATTTTTTTGATGTGTACCAAAGAGATTATCCTTCACGCCAACTCGATGACAGGAGGATCTGAGTCATTTCTGAGAACAAAGGGGCCTGCGACGCCGCTTGAAAAGATTTGCCTTCAGGAAAAGAAGAGCCAAGACAAATAAACGTTTTGAGACGTAAGCCTTAAAAATGCTATCTAAACTCTATTTTTTTTAGTTTCCTCTATATTTTTGCAAATCTTCCAGACCTAAAGTTTTTACTAGATTCAATCGTAGCAACATTCTGTCCTTTAGCCAAAAATAAATTTCTCCTCCAGTCCCTCGTTTTATCCTACGTATTTGTGTATTTAATGATTTTTCTGTTTAGTGCAGTATGAAATTCAAGGACAATTCTTAACACCGGTCTTTTTTTTGTCAGACATTTTTGGTGTGAATAATACAGTTTTTCAAACTAGTTTTCAAAACATTCAAATTTTGTAGTCAATATTTAATTGTATTTAATCCTGGAAATCAATTACTCTGTTACAATGTTTTGTTCTATCTATTGATATGTAATCATTAACTTACTTTTTGAGTTTTACCCAATAGTTTTTCGGCCGTACAATTCAGACAATGTCAGCAGAAAAAAAGGCTAATGAAACTAATCTGCATCATAACTGATACATGCTTGCTAACTCTATGTTCATAAGTGGAATTGCTATTAGATTTTCATAAGGGGCCAATCAAAGTATTAGGAAAAACAGAATCGTATTTCTTTTGCATTTTTTTTCAAAGTTTATTGATAAAAATTCTGCACTCAATGATACTTGCTTGGATTATATTGCCCTACACGCACCGCCATACATCAGAATTGCTAGTCATATAGTTCGATGAAGCAGATGAAAAAATGCGAGTCATACATTTTTCATATACGGGAATTGTATGACTAGTTTTTGCAGCATTGGCACTAAATTTGGATCAAATTAAATCCTCCCTCTAAATAGGCCAAGTTAAGATCATCCACCCTGGCGCTAACTTTGTATTAAGTTTGTCAAGCGCTGCGTCTAAAATGCTTCGATCTAATTGGCTGAAAGTTTAAACTTAGAATCAAATTAACATTCTCCTTCACTAAACGGTTTTCGTGGATGCTAACTTGGTACCTATTTTTTAGTAATCTACTTTCAAATAAACATGATATATCTCTGCAAATTTTTGCCTTGCATTAAAATTCTTCGCCTCAAAAAGTGAGAAAATTCATATATTTGAATAGGTGACATATTTTACAGACTATTCCGCATAGAATTTACATTTCAGTTACTCTATTAAAGAGGATTTTCATCTAGTCGTAATTTGTATTTGTTTATCTATTTCTCTTTTTTTTTATCAATTGTTGCTTTTTTCATATAGTTTTTTGATTGAAAATGCATCATTTTTCCAAGAAATAAACAAATTAGTGATGGTTTTCGATTGAACCAGTTTTCAAGGGCATTTTAGTCCAGACTTCAATGACTTTATAGTTTATTATAATATCCATATACAACTCCGAGGTCAATGTCGTCTTCTTCGGATCTTGTTTCTCGTCTCAAGTCATAAATATGCTCAAAAGAGCAACCATCATCGCCAGACAAGCGGCATTTACTTCTCTCTTAGCGGAGAAGTTCTGGGGTGGGTTGGTTGGCTCCTGTGCTGGTGCGTTGACCTCGCGTGACCTCTGAGTGAAGAGAGATGTCTGGGTACCTGGGAAGTTTGACTGCTGTACTGCAGCATAGTCGTCTGCAATTGTGACGTCATCAGTCAGGAACACGTCAAGAATGCAGTTGGGATTGTAGTTGCAACTCTGCAAACAAATTATTTAAAGTGGAGCACATGCCAGTGCTCGACCGGGGATGAATAGACAGGAGTTTGGGTCGAGCACAAATTCGAAACATACTTCGAGAACGGTCGAAACATACCACAAGCACGGTCGGAAAATGCCGATTGTTCCGCGGTAATTCAGAGTCAAAAAAAAATTATTTCAAATATCAACATATTTATTAACATTTTCGACTCAAATTGCAAACATTACTCCAAAAAGTTATAGAAGCCTTTCGGCGTTATCAGTTATCAGAAGAAGTTGCAACTGAGCAAACAGCTTTTTTAATATTACTTCTTTTTCGGCGTTGTAAGGGAACCCTGATAAAGTTATTTTTTGAAGTTCTTGAAAGATCTGAAGCCAGAGATTGCAATAAAAACTTGTTTTTTCCTCGTCCAATCGCAAAAACTGGACTTTTTGGTAAAATTCTTGCACCTCCCACCAAACAATTTTGTATTACTAAAAAAATTTAAGAATGAATAAAAAAAAGCACTGATTGATCTCTTAGTAAAAAAAAAGAAAAACACCACAAATGGGTTTGCACATTTCTTTAAGAAACATTTTTATAAATGAGCCAGATAAGAATTTGAATTCAGCAGCAAATTTTTCTAAGTTGACCTCATTTCAGCTAGCAACGCTCAGATCATAATAAAATCTCACGTCATTTCGGTAAGGAAATGTCAAAATGTTCTTATCATTTATAAGTTGTTTGCTTACAGTATAGCAGAGCGGCAATTTTTCTTGATTTTTTTAAATCAATTTTTCAGGTTTTTCTAATTGAGATCATACAAAGAAATTAAGTTTTAAATTTTTCTTGCAATTTGAAAAGTGTCATTACTTTAAAAAGATAAAATTAGCTAAAATTTTGCCTTTTTTCATGAATTTTTTTATTTAGTAAGAAAAAATGAACAATGAAAGTTGGAAATGTGTGTGTGTGTGTGTGTGTGTGTGTGTGTTTGTGTGTTTGTGTGTGTGTGGAGGGGGGGGGGGGGGGAGGAGGGGGGATTGGAAAAGAGCCCTACCTGGTTGACTGAAGCAGCGAACTCGGGTGGAACCTCATACACAGCATTCACAGGCCCCTCCTCCAAATCGGACTCCACCAATGAGAGGGTGTGTCGGAACAGCCAATCAGATTCATTCCTCACTTTCCACGTCTGTCCAAACAGCGCGTGCAGTTGAGTGTTGTCTGACTCAGGAGCCAACAGTGTGCCATCTGAAATTGGGTTGGTGAAGTTACTTTGTTTTGTACAGTCAGAAGACAGTAAAAGAGTCTTTTCAACTACCTCCCCCCCCCCCCCCCCCCCCCCCACAAACACACCACACACACACAATTTGATTTTTTAGTTTTTATAGTTTTATTACGTGTTATTATGGCTAAATGCGTGAATGATAGATGCTACGTTTTAAAGTTGTCAGAAGAAATCTGTTCACAATAAGCAATTTGTTCACCCGCGTGCTATGTTTTGTTGCATAAGGACCATATAATAAATTAGTTTTTCAATAGGAATTTGAAATATGAGGCGAGTGGGGGGGGGGGGGGTTTGGAAAATAGCCCAGAAAAGTTGCAACTTATTGTTTTGAATCAATATTATAAAATGATGTTTTATCCGAAATTTTCTTGCTTTCTAAAAACTTACTAAGCTTCAAATTCAAATATGAGTGGAAAAAGGTACGTTGGTGGGATTTAAAAAGCCAATTTTTAAGATGAATTGTCAAAAACTCTTTTATGTCAAGGTTGGGACTTGTTTCATTGTCCCTCATACGCCAATCATCGGCGAGGATCCGCAACAGTTTCTGCCTTTTATCCCAAGTCTTACCAGAGAAAACGAGAACTGCCAAAAAAAAATGTTATTTATTCTTTTGATTGGCTAAAAGCGAAAAGTTTCGATGTTTTTGTGACCTGTTTCTCTCAGTCGGCTTTTTCCCTCTTTAATTTTTTGTCATTTTTTGGCTAAATGTGATTTTTTCCGCTCTAATAAATGAAGAAAAATTTAGCTCGGAACAACAAATTGTCCAACATGCAAACTTCTATTTTATTAAGAAAGGGTTGAATCAGTATTACAAAGTTCGAGTTTTAGTGTCAGGAGAAGCAGTGAAAATGAGCACTAAGTCTATATAAATGTATATAAACAGTTGATGCCAGAAGTTAATTATGTTGACCTTATGTTTAAGTCGAACAAAAGGTTTTCCGAGCGCTCTCAGAACACTAAAAAGACCCAGACAAAATTTTCAGCGGCGCAAATTTTCGGTGGTTCTATACTTATCTTTCGTGGTGTAGTCATTGTTCGCATCTCCATCGTAGAACCCTACCAATCCCCTGGCATGTCCGAAGAACGCAGCCGGCAAAGTTGTGTACATGCCAATGAAACTCTTATCTGGAACCTTCATCACATTCAAAATCAGCTGCAGTTCTTCTACTTTCAACTTCATACCACCTTCCAACAGTTCAATTCGGATCCCGTTTCTGGTAAAAGGCGTCATGCGTTCATTGGACAGATCTTCGTCGTTTATGTAGAAGACGGTAGTAGCAGAATCTACTCGAAATAACTCGACGTTAGCAGTTTTGTACTTCAACGCAAATCCAGATATCATAGCTCCGTTGCCCATTTTTCGAGTACTGATTTGAAGTTGGAAGGGATCTTGAAGATCTGTTACTAGGTATGTGAATACTCCAACGTCCATGAAAGAGTACATTAACCCGTCACTGGTTGAAAAATGGGGATCGAATTGAGCGGTAACTGTAACACTTGCAGAGTAAGTTCCGAGAATTGTTGGTCGGTATTTCTCATAAATTTCACAGTTTTGTGCATGAATGTCGAAATCATCAACAGTGGCAATGCAGCAATCATTGTACGGTTTCAGGTCTATTTCATAGTGAGAGAAAATATTGCCGATTGTCCCAGGTTGAAGAGACATGCTTCCGGCGCCTTCATTTTTGGTTCTCAGAAGAGATCCCTCCGAGTTGTAGCAGCACTGGTTGGTGACGTAATGCTTCGACTCGGTTACGTCATCATCGCATGAAACACTCGGAGACCGGATACAGAAATCGACAGAACCTTGATTGAACTGGCAATCTCTTGGCTCGCAGTATCCAGCTTTTCTTGCAGACTCCGAGTCAGCGCCCCTTTCTTTGTTACAGCAGAGGTCAAAATACCAGCCATGGGATCCCGAAGTGACTTCATTTTTAGCCCAAGTTGCGTCAGTCGTGTTCCCCATTCCTGTGGGACAGGGGTACAAGGAAGTTAGGTCGTCGGCACATGATGACAGATTTCGTTGCGATTCTCTTTCAGCCCAGCTTGAACAGTTAGAGTTCACATAACCGATGACTGGGATCGAAGTTGCAATCACTAAAACAACAAAAAATGTTTTTAAACATATATTTGAACCACCAAACAAATTGTTTTCATAGGAAATCAAATTTCACGCCATATCTTTTATGCTAACTCAACATCAATGCAAGAAATGATGAGAAAATTGGTCGCTTGTTTTCAGCTGCAAAACATATGGAAATTTTTTGTTATAAACGGCATGTTTTAGCTTTCAAAAAAAGTAATTAAATGTTTATATTGCAAAAGCAGATATTTTTAATCAGAGAATATCTTTTAATGTGAGTGCCGATTTCGACTGGGGATGTTTTTCAATCAAGCCATTTCGATTTATTTATTAACATTTTGACAAATACTTCAAATATTTTGGCAAATATAAGATTTTTTATCTGTGGTTTTTCTGTGAAGTTATGAAAGTTGTTAATGTGACCTTTTAAGGATAATAATTGCGCAATAAATAGTGTTCTTGTCATGGATAAGCAATACCAATAACATAATTCCAAATTGAGATCAAAAATTTGAATCATTATTTAATTAATCCTCCAGGTTTGAATAGTTTGTGGGATGATAAAAGTAAGTAAGAACTACAAAAATCTTTCTCCGTTTTTTCTTTCATTAATCAAACTTATAACGAAACATTTTTCATTGAGAGTGATATTATCTTCTTGAGTCAGCAATCACTGCTAATTTCCCCAATGAGATGCAAACAAGGACGAAATTAACGTGAGGCCAAACTAATTGACCCGATGAGGTCTTAACGGCTGCGGAGCAAGCGACGCTATCCGTATCGCAATGCAGCACAGCTACTCGACCTGAAGGGTAGTGCCCGGATGGTAAGTGGGGTCGACGATCCAAAGGTGATCAGCAGATCGTAAACCAAAGTTTAGTGTTTTATTTCGTTTAAACTCTCGTTTCATTACATTCTGCTCAGCAACATCCACACCCTCGACGAGATGCGAACAGGGACAAATTTAACTTGAGACTCAGCTAATTAGCCCGATGAAGTCTTAACGGTTGCCAAGCGAGCGACGCTATCTCTACCGTAGTGCAGCACAGCTATTCAACCTGAAGGGTAGTGGCCATAAGGGCTGATGGGGTCGAAGATCCAAAAGAGGAGATCACCAGATCGTAAATCATAGCTCGAATTGGTATACCACTTCAAGCGCTTGTTCAAGGAAACTAATTACTTCGTGAGCCAAAGAGTTTTTGCGTAGACTTGTGCTTTAACATAGCTTTTTCGATGGTCAAAACTTCGATCAGGTGTCAGTGGTGAAAAAATAACTTAATGCTCGCGCAGTAGAAAACAGTTAGATGTTAACGGTTCCAGTTCCATGAAATGAGGAGTAACAGGCGTTATTGTACAGATCGTTAATGATTGCTCCTATAAACAAAACATGGTAGGCAAAACCTCATAAGTTTTATTGCGAGTATCGATGGCAGCGTAGAACACGTGTTTGATCAAATGCGCGCAAATTTTTTCAAAGAACCACCAAACTGATGCGCACCGGCAGGATTGTGTTTCTATTTAACTTTCTAGTGGGATAACCAGGAGGGAGCCTGCTTGCTCCAAACTTCTACAGAAAAAAAAAATTTTCCTCCACTCCAACAAAATTTGTTTCGTTGTCCGACTGCTCAGCACTGGGTCTACGACAGAGGGCGAATAACTTTTCAGTCCCAATGGTGAAACACCCGTTGTCAATAAGCGGAACGTTTTTGATGTGCACGGCCTGGGGATATTTTTGTGGGCAAACAAAAAGACCATCTGTTCTCACAATTGTGGCTGTAAATGTATAAAATGGACCAAACTCTTCTACCTCAAAATTAGTGAAAAGCCGTTGGCGGTAACTAAACCAGTTGACAGGAAATATGATATGATTGAATGAATTTTGGTTGCTTTGCGTTTTCCTCAGTCGAAACATCATTTCTCATATGCACGGAGCGTTGTTCGCAGACCCAACACTCCAAAACTCATAAGAACAATGGACTTCAAATAAACTGAAGATTAATGTTTTTTGGGCAAAATGCAGATGCCCTAAATACAATTTCACTAAAGATGGCGAGAATTTAGATTATTTAATATTGAAATTTAAACCGATTAAACTAAGTATTAACTCCATTCCTTATAAAAGAATAATACCACCAGAGCCGATAATTAGTGAGTAACCTGCCAAGCAATTTTTGATAGGTTACCATAATGAAGGAAATTAAAAACAGCCGGTGACAGTTTGCAAATAAATAAAAGGAGCAATTTAATATTTGCAGTTGCTAATTTGGCCTGATCGGTCAATTGACCAGGCCTGCGAGTGTGCGTGGGTTTCGACAATAGTCACAACAACAAGTATCTCTGTTTTTTTGTGAGACTACTTCTATCAAACAATTACGATAGCAGCTGTAAAATTATCTGTGGTGTCGTCCAAAAACTAATTCGGGACAATGTTAGTAACGACCTTCAATTTCAGTTTTTTTGGCAACTCATTGCCAAACGAGAAGCTTACTCAATTATTTTTTCTCAAGCATTCTATAATCCGAGTGTATCAATGCCCGAGTGCTTCTTTCACCTATCTATAAGGAGCCAAAAAGCCACTGGGATGAAGTGAGTTATTTCACAAGCACATATTGCATCGAAAATTGGTAACTAATTCATTTAGTAAAGCCCACCCTTCCTGCAATTCAAGCTTAGGACTTGACAGCTCATTGATTAAGGTGTCCCCTCTTTTTCTGAAATCAAAGTGTTTGAAATCAAAGGCTACGAAGGAAAAAAATGAGCAAAACACATCTTACAAGCTATAGTAAATGAAATTGAACCCACACCGAAAGTGTTAGGGAATCACTAACGAAGAACAATTTTTTTCATAGGAGAAAAATTATTGCATGTCATTCGATGAATTGTTGTATAGGATTGTCACGTTGTTGCCCAGTTATGCGCCAATTTTCCTTAAGCAGGACGCAGATAGCCAGGTAAAAAAACTGAGAGCAAGTTGATGTCTAACGAATGCTTAGAGCTCAAGAAGAATTACATGACTAACAGCAAGAAAGTAACTCTCAGAATTCCACTTTAAATCAGAACTCAAATACTCCTAATCGCAAGCAAATTTTACTCTGCGTGCGTCATCGAAATTATGGGTTGATTCAAGTAATCGTCCTGGTAGAACCTTGTAAGTACTGCAATAGATGCTTCAGGGCATTGTTCAAGGTTTTGCCTGGTGGTTTACTGGGCTTCAAACTTCAAAAAATTTAGGGAATCGTGGGTGCCGAACTTGAACATCCAATTTGGCATCTTCCTGGTGCGAAAAGCTCGAACAAGCCTGATCACAAGGAGGTTAATCAACGCGGATGTTTTAACCTTGATGTTGACGGAAGCAAGTTAGTACGAGTAGTAAGTTTCGCAATAAGGCAAGCGAATGAGCAAAGATTTGTTCAATGACAAGCCTTGAATATTCGACGTGCCAGTCAAACTATGACGAAAATTACTCCGCTTGTTTGGATTGAGGTCAGACTAGTGGACTAATTATCAATCACGGACACAACAATGATGCTGATGATGCAGTTTAACTGTGCTAACATAACGATTACCGAGGTTTCCTCATCTACTGTATAAGTGTCATTTTTTAAAAAGCACTCTTCTTGTCGAGCCATTATCCAGCGCCCTAGTTTGGTCCAGCACCGACTAGTAATTGATGTGTAAAGATCTGTTATCTTTGACTTATTTTATTTCTATTCAGTAACTTTACAAGAGAAGCGCGCCGCTCAGTCCCTTTTTTTCAGGCAGATTGAGAACCATTGAGTTTTTCCCATTCTGATCAAAATTTTGAAGAAGTGGGCTTATGTGGTGATTAAAATCTTGGCCAACGACATTTTCGATGTCCGAATGTCTATTCCGCGGTTATTTTTGATTCCAAGGATTGACATTTTTCCTGAAGTATTGGACTGCCAAATTTTAAATTTAACATTATTTGTTTCCTTTACGTATGCGGTTACATTAACATTTTAATCAATGCCATTAGTATCAACTGATAGTGTGACCTCAAGTTACTTAAGTTCAAATTCCTCAGAAGAATTGAGGCTATTAAGGGTCAAGGCCATCATCTCCCTGACAAGTGCAGCTGGAAAACTTTTCTAGAGTTTTGGCAATTACGAAACATATGGTCTGCATTCAGACTGTAGAAATTAAATGTTTCTCCGCAAAAACCTCAGCCGCAAAAAAACTCTCGAGTAGAATTTTCGAAGGGATGTTCATCAGCGCACTTCGTGCAGTGAGGACATTCAACATTGTTTGACTCAGCACTGGATACGAAAGATTTGTTCAATGACAAGCCTTGAATATTCGACGTGCCAGTCAAACTATGACGAAAATTACTCCGCTTGTTTGGATTGAGGTCAGACTAGTGGACTAATTATCAATCACGGACACAACAATAATGCTGATGATGCAGATTAACTGTGCTAACATAACGATTACCGAGGTTTCCTCATCTACTGTATAAATGTCATTTTTTAAAAAGCACTCTTCTTGTCGAGCCATTATCCAGCGCCCCAGTTTGGTCCAGCTCCGACTAGTAATTGATGTGTAAAGATCTGTTATCTTTGACTTATTTTATTTCTATTCAGTAACTTTACAAGAGAAGCGCGCCGCTCAAAACTTATTTTTCAGGCAGATTGAGAATCATTGAGTTTTTCCCATTCTGATCAAAATTTTGAAGAAGTGGGCTTATGTGGTGATTAAAATCTTGGCCAACGACATTTTCGATGTCCGAATGACTATTCCGCGGTTATTTTTGATTCCAAGGATTGACATTTTTCCTGAAGTATTGGGTTGCCAAAACTTTAAATTTAACATTATTTGTTTCCTTTACGTATGCGGTTACATTAACATTTTAATCAATGCCATTAGTATCAACTGATAGTGTGACCTCAAGTTACTTAAGTTCAAATTCCTCAGAAGAATTGAGGCTATTAAGGGTCAAGGCCATCATCTCCCTGACAAGTGCTGCTGGAAAACTTTTCTAGAGTTTTGGCAATTA